CCCTATTCTAACTATTGAGGCCCCTGCATTACGTCAAGGATCCCATTAGTTGTTGGCCTAGTGCTAGGGCGCTGGTTTTCTGTCGCTCGGCAGTTTTCGGCTCTTGTGGTAGCAGAGATTGAAATCCCAAACTCCATAAACCCTAAACCCTAAACCCTAAACCCTAAACCCTAAACCTCCATAAAACACAAACGAAGTGCATGGCAGCCCTAAGCCCCAAGCCGAAGCCCTAGAAACCTTCGTCTGCGGCCCCAACAAAGCACATAAGCATATCAGTTCCCTTGTAATGAAGCCGGGTAGGTAGGGATATCCTTGTAAAATGCTTATGCCTATGTCCTTTTCGGGGCCCCTATCGTCAAATTAAGGACATGGCAGAGGTGAATATTGACAAGGCACTGATCGACCAGACTGCTCTGGTTCAAAGTGACGAGGTCGTCGCCATGCAAAACGGGTGCGTGTGCTGCACCCTGAAGTGTCCCGGCCATACCAGCGTAGTACAGGATCCTTAAGTAAATCCCTAAAGGTCCTGAGATTTGAGTACCTTCATAGTAGAACGTAGGGGTTCTATTTCCATAATCGGAATTACTGTTATGGTTTGGGCAAGTATTCCCAAATAGGTACAGGATCCTTAAGTAAATGAGTACTCATACAGTAAGGAACTCAATAGACATGGCCATTATACAGGCCCCTATAGCCCTGGACGATAGAGAAGCTACGCCTAGCAACCAGAAGCGACCAACACTACACACACTTGCAGTGTAAAACTCTAGAAATATGGTCCGTAAGCCCTAGGCTGCTGTGACAAATCCGACCAACCCCAGAAATTGGTAAAACCTTCACTTGGCTTAGCACTTTCTAACACCCCCACAATCAGAAACCATGAAACCCCGAAGCCCCCAAACCGCTGAAACAGACCCCCTGAAGCCCCTAAACAGCACACCTGTCGGTTTCCTGCTTTTTAGGGCCCAGGCAGATCGAACCCAAAAGCCCCTAAACCCTAAACCCTAATTAAACCCTAAGCCCTAAGCCGAACCCAAAAGCCCCGAAAGTGCGCCGAGGGATGACCTCGCAGATCAGATCCTCCACCTCGCCAGGAGAGGATCCTTCGACCCATGGTGATTGTAATATATGGGCCTAAATAGTTCCCAACACTTTTTGTTTTGGGTTTAGGGTTTCGGGTTTAGGGTTTAGGCATAAATAGTTCCCAGCACTTTGATTTTTTTTTGTTGGGGGGGTGCCTTATTAATATTATGGTAGATATATAATATACCCCAAAACCATATTCTAGTAATTAGGGCCCTTATGTTGTTTGTTTTCTGGTATTGCGTTTTTTGGGGTTCCCGTACAGGGTTGTGCCGGGCTCTTCAAGGGTTTAAGAAGGGTTTATTGGGAATTGTTATGATTTCGTTTAGGGGTTTTTGTTGACGGTTTCTAGAAGGAGTTATACTATGACGACTTTCCATATCTCAGACTCAGAGATTTAGGCCCATCATGGACTCCCGCAGCTGCAGCTGAATCGACAAGCAGTTCTAGAATCAGAGTTGCTTAGTAGCTGGGTAGGTAACCTTTAAGGTTTTGGGGTTTATATAACCGTTGAAAACGTGACCCCCGAGGTTCTAGGAGGGTTTGACGAGTAGGCTCCGGTTCGGGATGTAGGGCCACAATGTAGTGGCCTTAGTAGGTTTTCGGACGCACTATGCAATAATTATAGTAAAGAACCCCCCCCCAAAAAAANNAAAATAGTAGGTAATTCTTTAGGCCTCTACATTATTAGGGTCTAAGGCTTAGTGTTTTGCCGACTTCTAAACTCAGGATCCTAAGCAGCCAAGCTCTCTAGCAGCTTTAGGGTTTCTGGTTTCGAAGTTTAGGTTTAGTATACCCATAGGCCCCATATAGTACTTGTTTTTGGGGTTCATCTTTAGAATCCTATAAGGTAATCCCCCAAAGGAGCTACTATGGGGCCTATGGGTAGAGGCCTATATAATTACCTATTTCTTTTTGGGGGGCTGTTCCTTATTATAGCTATAGTTTAATGGACCCGAAAACCCTATCCTGGTTATTAAGGCCCCTACATTAGCGCTGAAGAAGTTGTAATCCGAAGCTCACGAGACCCTGTGTTCGAGTTTGCAGGAAACCCTAAACCCTGAGCCCTACACGATAAGCCCAAGGCCCTTAGCTCTAAGGCCTAAGCCCTGAGCCCTACACGCTAAGCCCAAGGCCCTTAGCTCTAAGGCCTAAACCCTAAAGTTTAGGGTTTAGGATGTTTAGCCCTAAGCCTTAAGCCGAGGACTACATGATAGTCGAGGCCTCGGGAGTGTCGGAGCCTTCGCAGATCGCCCGGATCTTCGCCGACCACGAAAGCCTGAACGAGGCCGGGGCGGTTCCTCTTTTCAGTGTTTAGGGTTTAAGATTAGGGCTTATAGGGTTTAGGGTTTGGGGCTGAGAGTTTAAGGTTTAAGGAAATATTGGAGCTGGAGCACTTACCTTCTTTTGGGTCCATAATACATTTGTGCTACAATGCACCACAAAATCCTCTTCTAATTATCGATGTCTCTATTATTCGGAGATGTTATAAAAGGACCCTAAAACCGACCCTAATTTAGACAACTACCCCTACAGAGCCCTTGTAGTACTCTTATCGAAACCCTATAGAAGCCCTTTACAGATCCCTGAAAAGGACCTAAAAAGGGACCCAAGACTCCTAAGTGCCCAGACCTGAAGACTCAGAGCGCTTTAGAAGCCCGGAATCCTGAGACCCTTGGGGTTTAGGGTTTAGGGTTTAGGGTTTAGGGGGTAGAATCTCAGGAAGTGCACTACCCGCCACTACCCACGAGCCTAAGCATTTTAGGGTTTAGGGTAAACCTTAAAGGGCTCAGGGTTTAGGACTTAGGGTAAACCCTAAAGGGCTTTGGGTTTCGGGTTTAGGGTTTAGGGTTTAGGGCAAGAACCCTCGGCCTCGAAGCCTTGCTAAGCGCCAGGTAGCACGACTGGATACCTGCGTGACCGTCGTCGACTGTGGGGACTTCTTCGGCAACCTCGAAGGGGTCAAAAAGGCAGTGGTTACCCTAAACCCTAAACCCTCAACCCTAAACCCCCCCAAAAAATGGAGTTTAGGGTTTAGGGTTTAGGGTTTCAGACAATGGGTCCGCCCCTAACCCTTATCCCCCAACCATAAATTCCCAAACCCTTGGAGTGAAACTGAAAGCCCTAAACCCCTAATACCTAGAACATCCCAGAACTACTTGGAGGATCATGGGGCTTAGTAAGTAAGGCTATAAGTCCCTTAATTGGGGGTTATAGGTATAGTTACCTTACTTATAACCCTACTTACTGAATCCCATGATCCTTTAAGTAGAAGATTTGACAACTCAGGAAGTCCACCCATTCTCGAGGATTGGGAAGATCGGGATACAGTGGTCGGACCAATTTCCAACATTATTCCTCGGGGCTGCTTATAGTAGAACCCAAAACCTTATTCGAATTCTGAAGGCGCTTTCAGTAGTGTTCTAGGTTGATGACGGAGAGCAGATGGGTTCTGGTAGGGTCGTAGCGCCTCTTCGGAAAGTGGGTGAGTTCACATTTGCGTGTTTGTTCCGTGTCGTCGTTTTTGGTATTAGAAGTTAGGAAGGGTTTGAGGCATAGGGCTCAAGATGTAGGATTTATCCGCTTTAGGGCATGAAGGTATGTCTCTCTAAACGTCAGGGTATAAAGCTTTCAAACCCCACAGCCTACTTCTAAGCCCCAGAAGCCCCACAGAAAACCCTACACACTCTCCCGAAACTGTATTCCCAAGCCCCCGTAACCCTATGCCCACTCTGTCTTTATGGTAAACCGTATGGAACCCTTTATGAAGGGAGCCCTCAGCGACATATGATTTATGTCCCCATCTTGAACAACCTCATAGAAGCCTGTATCTAAACTCTACATGAAAGGAACCTTCATTACTTATACTAAAACTAAACCCTAAACCCTAAAACCTAAACCCTAAACCCTAAACCCTAAACCCTAAACCCTAAACCCTAGACCCTAAACCCTAAACCCTAAACCCTAAACCCAAGCCATGAACTTCTCAAGCCCAAAGTGTCATGCTCGACAGGGTCCCAAGAACGAAAGCTTCCCGCAGCTCCTCGCGGAACAGATCGAGGCAGCCTCTGATTCTGAGCTTTCTGTATGATACGTAAAACAGACACTTAAACTTAAGGGTTGATTTACATAAAGAAGGGTTTAGGGTTTAGGGTTTAGGGTTGAGTTGATTTACATAAAGAAGGGTTTAGGATTCTTGCACCGGAGCCCGGAAAGCGAAGCCCCCCCCCAAAAAAAAATCCGCAACTTCGTGTGCAGCCAATTTTGGAACCCGAGGGCACCAATACCTCTTTTTCGGTTGGGGCTTTTGAATCATAAACCTCTGCATTTAATTTAAGTTATGAGAGGGTCGACAGAACTCGGTTGTCGCAATTTCAGTGTTGCTTTATGCATCTTGTTTCCCTATATAGATATATATATGTATACAGACCTCTCAAGCATTGAAGGGTTTAGGGCTAGGGCTTGTCTAGTTGAGGATGCTTTTATCAGGGATCTCCACATTTTCGATCTTTATTTGGGGCTCTGCTGGGCGTTGTTCGGAATTCTGGCAATTTTTTTCTGGACATAAACTCGCTCCAGTATGCGAACGTTGTCGTCCTGAACAAGACGGACCTCGTTAGCAAGTCGCAGATGCAGGACTGCCCGGGGTCGGAATAATTCCTAAGAATTGGTATTATCAGTATCAGTATTGGCAATGTTCGAATGATCAGATTGCTAAATGTATATTTCACAATCGTATTTAGGGCCCTTTCCATAACAGGGGCTCGTTAGAGGATTTAACGGTGTCGGGAAATTTGGGAATAGCAATCCCTAGGCAATATATACTTAGGGTACAACAGGCGCCAAAGCACCATTCTTTACGAGTGACATGGCTCCTGCATTGCGTCCAGCAGTGCGCTTTCCCTGTGGCTCGTAAAGCCTAGCCTAACAGTTTCCTGCGTTCATAGGAGATCAAGCGAAATAGCAGTTGGATAGGTAACCTTTAACTTTTTGGGGTCTATATAAACCTACCATAATTGCAAAGGTTAAGCTGTTTTGGGCTAGGGTGCTCAGCCCCTAAGACGAGGTCACAACCATGATAGGTCTTGGGTACTTCTGCCTAAACCCAAAACCCTAAACCCTGAACCCTAAACCCTAAACCCCAAACTCTAAACACTGTTGGTTGATGGCTTCCCTTCAGGGGATTTCATGGGATCTCCAAGCAGGTTTGCTTACGTCTTACGTAGTCTTACATGGATGATTCTAAGGGTAATGGAATAAGCCCACTATGTTGCAGGGTTAGGGGGTCTGCTGGGGTGGGTTTCAGTGGTGAGAAACCCTAAACCCTAAACCCCAAACCCTAAGGCCTTAAAAAACAAAACCCTAAACCCTAAACAGCAAAGATAATCG